TAAAATATAATAAAAACTATATAGACATAGTTAAAAAATATAATAAAAACTATATAGACAGTTAAAAAATAAAACAATGACAAAAACGCAATAACTAATAAAAATGAAAAAAACGCAACAAAATTACTAAAACTTTAACTAAAATTTAAATGAAAAATCCAACGTTAAAAACGAATAAAAAAAAACTATAATAGTATCTTTAAAATACTAAAATAACACAACAAATGATTTAAATGTGTATTTTTGTACACTTTAATCCAAATTTTGTGTTACATTTTTGGTTCACAACTTGTTCTGTATTTTTGTGGTACATAATCACCTGAGATCACCCCATATTGATCCAGGAAAATGTTCTGCTTGTGTAAATAATGTGTTTGTTACATGAGGGTTATGAGATCTATTTTTAGTACCGTTTTAGTACTTGTTCTAGATGGCATTGATTTTGACATAACCATCTTCTCTCAAAAGAAATACATTTCCCCACCAGCACCAGCACACCCAGCTTAAGAAGATGCCACAGTGGTAGCAGCTGAATCATATCTTAGCTTCACATTGCTCTGAGACACAGCGGTGGGCCCGAGCAGCTCTTAAATCTGACACCAGCCATATATCCCAGAAAAATACAGTGCGCCCGCATTTCTGACTTCCTCCCCCGATAAAGAGTTTTCAATGGCCCTTGACTGCCTTTTCCTCATTTTGGTGTGCAGCTGGGCATTATAAGAGACTCGTACTGCCCTGAAGTCAGTGTTTTATGTCTTTATATTAATTGAGATGTCCTTTACTGTTGACCTTATTTGAGTTTGAGTAAAACTTCTACTTTGAGTGAATGCATTTCAGGGAAGCCTGTCTACCAGTGTTAGTGTTTTAGAGAAATGCAGTCTTCATCTTATTGGTTTTAAGAAAGGAAGGTCCTACTTTTTCATTGAAAGCTAAAGATTTAGACATTTTAGATAAAGAACATTTTTTGTTTATTTATTTATTTGCAAGCTTGATAAAGAGTTTGGGGGATTTTAGCTTTCCTTATACATGTTGTTGAACTTAGTCACTTTGTGTAAAATGAATAAAATCAATTTGTCAACGGGGTAAAAAAAATACACCTATATCAACATTGCTTCTCATAAATTGATACCGTTTTGTTTTTTAACATTATTGCCACCAAGCGAAACATTGAAAGAACTCTCTTACCCTCAATAAGCAAGGCTGCATTTATTTTATCAAAAATATAGGAAAAACTGTAATATTGTGAAATTTGATTCCAATTTCAAACAAATGTTTTGTATTTTATTGTATTTTAAAATGTCATTTATTCCTGTGATGGCAAAGCTGAATTTTCAGCTGCCGTTACTCCAGTCTTCAGTGTCAATCTTATGCTGATTTTTAATGTGCTGATTTGGTGCTCAAGAAACACTTTTTTTTTTTAATAGTTTCAAATATGAACAGTATTAATTTGAAATAGAAATCTTTTGTAATATAATAAATGTCTTTACTGTCAATTTTGATAAAGTTAATGCGTCCTTGCTGGGTTGCAAAGGGGTGGAAAATTTCCGGTAAGATTCCGGAAACTTTCCAAAAATCCCCAAAATGATATTTTATAAGAAATTTGGCATTGCCATACTAAAATCATACACTCTATTGGTGTTTGTGATTGATATTGTGCCAAAGCTAACAACCTGCATGTTTAGCAATTACAGAATGACCTTTAAAGGGGTCATATGATGCTGCTAAAAAGAACATTATTTTGTGTATTTGGTGTAATGAAATGTGTTTATGCGGTTTAAAGTTAAAAAAACACATTATTTTCCACATACTGTACATTATTGTTTCTCCTCTATGCCCCGCCTTTTTGAAACGCGTCGATTTT